ACTCCATATGGCATTGAAATTTGGCCGTGAATATCTTTTCCGTTGTTTCGTTATTTTAAGTAGCTATTTGACATTTTGTTTCTTCATGTTTAAATTGTTGTTATCCAAATATTTGTCGTAATAGAGGTTTGCATGAAAGGTGTTAATTATTTAGTTTGTCTTAATAGTTGTTTATACATGTGGTAGTAATGTTGAAATTATAGTAGCAATTTTAATTCCGCGGAAAAATACTCGCTTCATCAAATAGGTTCAATCTATAACCTATGACCTCGCAAAGTAGCAAAGAATTTAGTTATTTTAGCCTTATCCCTTTATTTTTTCTTTTTGAAAAAATAAACAAATAATAAATAAAAAAACGAGACAAGCTTCACCAAAAATAAAAAATGTACAGATTGCGGAGCCCTCANTTTGGGAGTTTTGGCATTCTGAACTTCTTTGGAATGGGTTTCGGCGCCGCTTCCTCTGGGAACGACCTTTGTATGAACTTCTTCGAATCCACACCTTTCAGGACCGGGGGTGCACCCGGAATTTGGTCGACCCTGGAGTTGTAGGTCTCGACCTTCTGGTCATTGGCCTCTATCATTTTCTCGCCCAATTCGATCCTTCTGGTGAGGTCCTCGAGCATTTTTACGATGGCGGGATCAACTATCGACCCGTTATTGCTCGATCTCTCCAGTACCTGTTCGGCTGGGGGAGATGTCCCCAGTGCTATCATGCCGGGAGTTTTCTGGTGACTTTGTAGCTGAGCAATAGCTAGCTGTTGTGCCTGCAACATTTCAAAAATAACATGAAGGCTAACCTCACGATCTTCCCTGGTCGGGGTTTTCTAAACTTCTTGTGGATCTCCCTGACGCATGCTCCTGTTGGTATGCGAGCTTATATCGATGCGTTGGGCGTCGCGTGAGACCACGTCCACAGGGATTGGTTCTGGCGCATTCCCAGGGTATTGTGGTGGCACACCAACACCTGGAACATCCACACCGTTCTCTCCGTGGTCCTCGAGATTGTTGTTTTTGCCTCCATTCACTGAGTTAAACATTTTGACCTGAAATCGAAGATCTTGGACAAGAAAAAGCGTGAAAGATAACTTGCGTTGTATGACGAAACCAGCAAGAAAATAATCACTATTATTTTTAGCCCCACGGTGGGCGCCAAACTGTTTACCGTAAAAATGGTAATAACAATTAAATTTGTTTATGGGGCTCTAAAAATATGTGATCTATTTTTATGCTAGTTTGTTAAGCAGTTGATGCTATGTGTGTGAGACTTGGAAACGAAATGAGAGTTAATGATAGGGGAATAACCGAACCGTTGGGGTCAATAATCGAGGCCTCGAGCTTGCTGATTCGGGGCCTCGAGGTTGATTCCGGAGCTCGGCAGGGAGCTATCGAGGATGGTCGAAGTAAGACTAATAGTTATAACAAAATCAATGAAGGCTCTTTATGGCCAATGACAAGCAATGAATGAAGAACAATAATGAAGAAAATAAATGAGAGCAATAATATCAAAGAATAAGTTAGAGAGCAAAGAGAATGTTTATATTTCGTGTGGAGCAACTGAAGCAACAACAACTCTACAAAATGATAAAGATCCCCTTTATATAGGAGGGGAATCCCAACATAGTACAAAATACATTAATGATAAAGAAACGGAGATGGGACAGCTAGAAGACATCCTGATTAAGGGCTAGGGTAGACCTGTCAGTCCTAGCCACGTGCCTTGGGAACTCCCCGTTTCTACCATGGCCGCGGTCAACGTTGTCCCAAGGTCGAGCGTCGACGAACCTCGAGGGAGGAAACTCGACCATAACCTTGTAGCCTCGAGACTTCGATATGGTCTTCTGAGGTGCCTCGATGACGAGAAATTGAACCCTCCAATTTCACCGTATACATATATACAGTGTAATATTTTGGCGAATGGGGATTCGGGTGAACACCCTTCCGCCCCAGGCCATAATCTTTGTATGTCCTTGCGGGTTCCTATCCATGCAACTGGAATCAATGCCCTAGCAGTTGTCATCTATTTCTCAAAGCTTTTTTAGAAAAGGACAAAAGAAACAAGATTAAAGATACGAGTGACTCCAACACAATCGTAGGACAATTCTCTTCAAATAATAACAAGATCAAATAAATCGGCACAATGTAATGCACTCTAGACCCTAATAAGTTACTTTGATTTGAACAGTCCGATACAAGCACCCCTCAAAGGTAATTATAAAAATAGCAAATAAATTAACCTTGGTAAAAATGTAAGTAACTGTCGTGATGGTAAAACATCAAATTAGGCTAAAGAGGTTACGTTTTAGCCCCTTCAATACGATTCAAGTTCAGATGGCATAAAAATAGACTAGTTACTTATAAATGTAAGCACAATTAATATCATTACAGGTGAACCATAGAAAACATGGTCAAAAGTGAATTACAAGCTGAATCAATTTACAAATTGAGCAAGTTTCTCTTACGGATGGTGATTTTTGTGTTTTTCGTTGGAAAAATGATACTGTATAGCCGCTGTAAAAATAATAGCCGAAAAAATGTATAAAATTTGTATATATTTTGTATATATATACATTCTGTATATTATATACAAAAAGTATACATTTTTCGGCTACCAAATGTAAATAATTTTTGGCGCGGACTAAAAGAGATAATACCCCTTTTTCGTTTAGCTAAATGCGAGTAAAAACAAACACGCAAGCGCCAATAACACTAGCTAGGAACTAAAGTGATATGTTGAAGATCCCTCAAACTATTTTATTACGTATCTGATAGTCTAAGTTAGTCTAATAGAAACATTACTTTAAAGTTTGAAAAAATTAAAAGAATATGTGCTCCTCATGACAAAACAATAAAATAAAAAAGTTAGATGTTTTAAAATTATTGGTAAAATTATGTCAAATATTTTAAAATATTTCAAAGGAAGAAATACGTTGTAGTTTTGCATAGATTGGACTGATATATTATACTTTTTCTCCTTTCTCCCTTTTCTTTTTCTTCTTCTTCCAATAATTTATGAGCATACATGATACAACTAATAGTAAAAATTAATAGAGTATCGGGCGTAAAAAATTAACAAATTAATATTTGTCATTAAAGTTGAGTAAGTAATGTTCCATCGAGCTTATATTGTCTATCTTTAATAATTTGAATTAGCTTGGTTGAAGAAAATTGAAAAATACCGTTGATAATTTTTGTTTGAACTTGAAAAAAAACCATGTTGAAATAGACAAAGTGGATCCATTGATTTTTAAAAGTATAAGTTAAATCTAACCATTAAAAATTATTGAAATTGATATTTAGAAGGTTTATCAAATTTGAAGTCATTTGACGTTGATTTGGAACAATTTTGAAGCAAAACATGATGGTGAATTTTTTGCATAGCAATTATGGCTATGGTCAAAATTTGTAACCAATTATGATGATTTGCCTGGATTTCTGAAAATCAATTATGACGATACTTAGACTTACAGCTTGTTTGGAGGGTTGTTATCCATTGTATTGTATCGTATGTTACGTTAAATACGATGTTTGTTTTAATTGTTACTTAAATTTTATTGTATCGTATCGTTAAATCCGTCAACGAAATATGCCACTTTATGTAACGACCGATTTGATATAGTCGCATAGTTACCTTGTCTTTTTCTCTCAATCTCACCCTTCATTATTATCAAATAATTTTATTTTATCATTTACTATACCTTTTTATATAATAATTTTACCTTGTATTGTAACTTTTCTTTATAATATTGCAAGTTCATTCTTCATATTACTGGTGTGTGATATCATAAAACGACGGCAAACGACACAATCTACCCAAATATTGTATTTATCAACGATACCGTACAATACAATACAATACAATACGATACATTATGAAACAATACGTAACAACGATCCAAACAAGCTGTTAGTGACCAATGCTTATAATTATCCCCGCTTTGGCTACGTTTTTGACTCAAGCTTTCAGTAGTTATAGTTAACAAACTATAAACATTATATGGACATTGGACGACAACCCATACTATGATCACTTATTTCCCAAATCAATTCTGCTACTTTTGGACGACCTATGTATACATCTCTCTCATCTATTTTGCTATTCTTGATTGCCTTACGGGGTTGCAAAAAGTAGGAATGAGATTTTATCCTATAGGAGGAACCAAACTACGAAAAATAAAATCTTTACTGCAGCTGGAGGCAATTCGAGCACTGGATAAGAGAATTGATATGCCGAATATATGAATCCCTCTATTAATCAAGATGAACATATATGTATGTACATGCAAGTACGGAGTACCTATCGGCAGAAACGAATCAATTTAGATAGCATGTCATGTTACAGTAAATCACCTGAACAGATTTATTTCTACCCAAAAATCCACACTATTCTTAGATGCCACTGCATAATTTTTACCCTGAAAATATAGGGCAATATTGCTACAGATGCACAACTCATATTAATGACAGCATTCTTACTGCCACTGCATCAGTTCTCCAATTCAATCAAATAAAGCTTAAAAGAAGGAATAAAGGCAAAAGCAGTGAAAGAATGATACCTCTCGCCCCTTGCATCACAAAAGTGCATGAGCGTCAAATGTAGGAGAAAGATGAAACCACTAATATGTGGAGAAAAATGTGGAAATCACTACGCTGTCAATGCATCATGTACTTGGCAATACAATGATTTATCACTTTATAATATCATCTGTTCTTGATCCTGGTTGATCTAGGAAATTCTTGCAAAATGAAATCCAACCAGAATCAAACAACAACTCACCTCTGGAATTGAACACAAGTAGAATAACAACATTGTAAACCAAAAAAATTAATCAGTGGTCTCCATAAAAAACTTATAATTTTGTTATCTTTAATAGGTAAAAAAGTTAATTTCTCATCCTTCATTGAACATTATCTGAAAGTACCCATTCTTTTACGATTGGAAAATTCAGATAATTGATTAAAAAAAAAAAAAAAAGAAATTGATTTCAACAATCACAATTCTGAGATGCCAAGACCACTTGGATTTGATGTGGAAACCCGACAAGTGAATACACCTGCCTGGAGCATTAAGCAAATATTATGGCCAAAATAAAAGGAACACGAACCAGTTCATTAAAACATCAAACCAGAGTTTTGTCATACCTAGTAAACTATGATTTTCACTTTGAAATGCAACAAACAATTGCCGATATGCATCAAGGAGCTAAATGCCATCTTCTGTCCATAAAATAACTGATGACTAAGGGTCTTGCTTTGACCTGCATTGAGAGGGATCATGTCCAGGTGAACATCAAAATAAAGAACCATAAAAAAAATTGTGAGCATGAAAGATGGGGGAAAATAAATCCTTACTGCAGTGGGATTTTCTTCTCAGTCAGCAAGCTCCCGGAAACGTATGATATTGTTGATAAAGCTCCTCTCGCGACGATAGCTGAAGATTAAGATAGATAAGACTCACAAACACACACGTCATGCTTTTTAGAATACAATTTAGTTATAGGACTTCCAAATTATAGCAGTTAAGTTTTGATGTTCTGTCTTTGAGCCTAGTCTCCTACAATTCTAGTCCACAGAGCGCATTGGACAACAAAAATGTTAGCTCTGCAAAGGTCATCTTCATAAGCTCCCTACAAACTTACATGATAAAGGCTTCTAGCATGAAACTGGTGGTTCCCACTAAGAAGTGACAGCTAAATGTTTTCCAGAAGTCATCCCGATCCAGAAATATCTTTTCTGAAATTAGAGTGGCTACTCCAGAAAGAAGCAGAAACGTCCAACCAGAGGGCAGGCAGCTACCGAAGGAAAATGAGGATGAACCCTGAGAAAAAAATCCAAAGAATAGTAAAGCATCAGGAAAATTATTGGTTTTGATGATAAAAAGCAAAATAATTTCACAAGCTTAGCAAATACCTGGAAATAGTTCCTGATGAATACTGCTGAGTAAGCGATCCTTAAAGCCATATCTTTCAACAAGTCAAGGAACTAGCGGCTAAAATTTTTAGATATCCTCAAGGACAACTGGGTTCACACAGTACCAAAGATCTAGAGAACCACTCATACACTTCCAACTCTGGACACAGATGACTACAAGTGCTTGTTGCCTTTCATATTTAGCAGATAGCCGTTTCAGTTTTAGCAGCCAGCAACAACAATAATGTTATAGATGCTTGCGCGCTACTACTGCTGTAACTTTGCTACTAAATGCAAAAACTCAATAGCAATCACCAGTGAAACACTTACCTTCTTATGCAATATGGCTTCCAGGCTATCACCACCAAAGTGAAAACCAAGCTCTATTTGGCTAGTTCTTCTACAGTTCTACGTATTACAAGTGTTCCTGAAAATAGTTCTTTTATCTGAAAATGATAGATTATGAATTTGCAACGTGAAAGATGCTGATAAATGAAATATGCAACCCTATGATGTATGGTACATGATATTCACCATCCCCAACAACCTAATCAGAACACACCACCAAATTGTAAGGCCTTGCCTTATTTCTGAACCAAGATCTGTAGTGCGAACACTGATCATCAATTTCCTTTTTTTAAATAAAGAAGCAAACACTGTCGAAATATTAGGAAAAGAAGAAATCTAATACTTTAATGTATCATGAAAAGATACTCAAAGAATTTGCTAAAATCAACCCAATTGCACCAGCTGAACGTATAAGAGAAACATTCAACACCAGGTAAATCAATGAGAACACAAGCAAGGAATCATTTGAGCGCTTGAGTTGAATCTCATCTGCGACCGCATGCAAAAATGCTTCAGATGTTCCTGCACCAAAGACAAAGAAAAACTTGACAATTTCATAATAGTATCTGTAGACCTTAAGGCTGGTAAAGCTAAAGAAAACTTTAGTTGGTCAGGGTAAATTCAACATATCATCTTCACAAGGTGAAAGCAAATACAGCACAAATCAGTGGTACAATCTATTGGGCATATCATTGCAATTAATAATGCAGGTTGCAAAACGAGAAGTGAACACACTTGATTGTAGATCTCAGCTACTTGAAACAGAATATATAAGCTTTCCATCAGTTATATAAAAAGCAATAAGCCTTCTTATCAGAAAAATGTAAAAGGAGTAAACGGATTCATAAATGATCAACAACAACAACAACAACAACAACCCAGTGTAAATCCCACAAGTGGGGTCTGGGGAGGGTAATATGTACGCAGACCTTACCTCTACCCCGAGGGGCAGAGAGGTTGTTTCCAGGAGACCCTCGGCTCAAAGAGGCGACAAGAGACACTATATTAGTACTATCAATAGACTCATAATAAAACAACATAAAATAACATAAAATTCATAACATAACATAAATACCATAAAAACAAAGTAACAGCAATATAAGAGATATAAGAAATACGAGAATATGTAAGGAAATACCATAAATGATCAAATTATTAAAATCAAAGTTGTATGAAAAAATGCGCTAAAACCTCCAACAATAATTCATAAAGGCAGTGGGGGTAACGACGTTGCATTAGCATAGTACATAGCTGCAATACATCACTACAAGGATTTCTAGGTAGTTTCTGGAACGTCAAGGATTTATAATCCACGAATTAAAAAGATTAGGGATATTGGGATCTTTCGTTTCTGATCATGCAGGTATTTGCTGCATTTTAATTGGAACGTCCTGGCTATCCTCCATGAGCAAGAAGACAGTGCCCTGTCCTCAAAGGGACAAAAGCACAAAAGATGGCATATTCCAAAAGAAACTTGCCAATAGTTTCATCCCTACCGAAAAAGTCGAATAAAAGTCACCAATTTCAAAAGCATGCTTCAAGGTTGTATCACTTCAACAATACTGAACAACAAAAACGACTGGTGGATAAACTTGGCCCGACTCCAGTTAAGAGCTTCAGTTCTGCTTTGCCAAAATTTATCAGAAAGCTCAAGAACTGCATCACTCGCAGAAATTTCAAACATGAAAAGTCCTCTTATCTAAGAAACTTTGGCCGTGGAGGCTGCAGCAGCAAAGTTAATTACAAAATCAAACACAGTAACTGATTAAAATAGAAGCCAAAGTTGGGAAATGCAATCTTCAGTTCTTCACAACCTTTTTTCCCATATATAAACAGCTGTCTCCACATCATTATTTACTAAAAGTGACGTTTCAGCGGACCTGATTAATTATCATCATAAACTGCTGCTTGCTTCATAAAATGATCCTCAACAACTACTACAATTACACCTCGGTCCCAAATAAGTTTGGATCGGTTATATGAATTACATTTACCACGTTACTCTATTTAAACTCATATCATGCCAACTTCAAAAGGTAATCCCGTTGCTAAAAGTAGTTTGTTTGCAAAGTTTTGACATTCTCTGCCCTTATTTACTGAGAGTTATAGATTGATTAGGTGCCAAGTATCACATTTGAGCGTATGCAGTGTTATCAAAGGCGAAAAGCGCAAAAACACTCTATGGCCCATCGGGGCTTTAAGCGCAAAGCGCAAATAAAGCGTGGGCTTTAACGAAAGAAGGCGCAATTGGAGAAAAAGTAAAAATATGTATATGCAGTCCAAGACCAATAATTATAAGCATGAATAACAAATAAATGGACAAAAATTGAAAACAAATTACGATAAAGTGAAATATCAATTGTTTAGTGTCGCATTTTCAGGATTACACTCATTGACAAGGTGCCTTAGAGTCTTGATGCGACACTGAAGCGCCCGCAAAGCGAGGCGAAGCGCTCAACATGTTTTCAGCCTTGCTTTAGGGCTTAAGCGCGCCGTATGGAAGTAAATCAGTTCCAATTCATGTGTTGTGGCCCGGTTATAAATACAGAGGAACCACAGAAGCACCAATAGATATGAGCTGCCGAAACTTGAAATCAACAGAGTTAAGAAAAACCCAAGCCCCCATAATATTTCATGATCAAAAGTGTTTCGTTTCAAGTCACAACATCAGGATATGGGAGGACGAACTAGAAAACCTATAGTAAATCATCAAGGTAACTAATTAAATTAAATCTTAAGCACCAAAAATAATTAATGAAGAGGAAGATAGAAATAGGAATAGTTCCGGACCTTCCAAAAATAATTGACAGTTGTTGAGGGGGTCCCTCAACTTTCAGTATTACAGAAAGGTTTCAGCATGGAATTTCTTTTGCACTCACTTGGCCTTATTCACATAAAACATGGAGAGAAGGTCCTTTGAGTCTAGATCATGGTCACTAGCCCCCATCGGGTCGTAGTGAAATTATCTCATGATAATACAAATGAATCATACAAAAACAAAGGAAAACCTACTCAAACTGTCAGTGTTCCCTTTTCTGTCTGAAGTCTTGAATAGAATTTTTCTCATGGATCACTCTAGACAAGGATGACACGGTTTATTATCTTATTTAATCGGTATTCCTATCAATTTGTTTCATTAACTCTAATTGGTTTTAGTTATTATATGAGAAATCACTGTTAGAAACGATAACTGCATAAGATTTTCATGGAAGTCATTATTTTCTAATTAATTATTCAATAATCGCTTAGTTCAGATTATAATCGATTTCTATTATGAAAACCAAGCACGCCCTTACCATTCATAGCCAAAAGAATCACATAGAGGCAATAGTATCGTAGAGCTGTTGAAGCTTCTCCGTCACTCCACTTGCGACCATACAACAATCTGATGAGAGAGTAGGAATAGCTAGGGCCAAAGGCCATGACCACCAAACCTACAAGACAAGCAGTTTTGGAAATGAAGATAAGCTATTTGGAGTCTAATTCGTTTTGAAAAACCTAAGAACCAAAAAGAAATAAAAGTTTACCAAGTTTTTCCATGTAATAAGTACAAGCAGCAAGTGAGACATATCGTGTGTCAATTTATTGTTCGAGCATATTTATCAAAAAGAAAAGAATTAGTTTGAAGCATATGGTAATGATGCTGATAAACCAAGCAAAATGCCTAAGCAAGAGCAAGTCTAGAGAACATATTCTGGAAGCTTCCTATTTCAATGGCAGTCAAAAGCAGTCTACTACATATTTTAGAGTCTTAGTTAAGTCATAACATCCCAAATGCTGAGTGATGTACATCGGCCTCTATCTTTTGAGGCTTTCAACTGTTCTTTTTCTCTTAGGTAGACTGTGAATTTGTCACCACAATAGTTGTGTGCCCAAAAGTAGATGTTTTAATTCAGGTTCTTTTTAGTTTCAAGATTCAGCAGTCCATTCCACTCACGAGAAAGGTCCCTTCTGCAATAAAGATTCGCAACGCAGATGATTGAGTTTCGAAAACTAAAGAGTAGCAGAGAGAGCTTTTTTTGGGCTAATGCAGAAAGAGTTTTTTGTTTCAAATTATCATAATGGCACCAACAAGGTGCTAATTTAACTTTACAAAAGATTTCATCTTTAGCGATCCCAAAAAAAATTCATAAAAGTGTCTAAGCAACCTAAATTTTTCTGTTTGCATAAAAAAAATGCTTAAATAACAATGCTTTACTCTGTATAGCTTGTCCTTCAAACACCTCGTATTTCTCTTTCCAAATAACCCATATGATGCAAGGAGAAACGTCCCACATTTTTCTGCCACATTATACAGGATGGTATAAAGAGTAATTAACAATGACAGAGAGGATCCTTACACTTATTTCGAAGCAGCACTCATATTCGAAAGACTAGGTTGAATTTCTGTAAGAAAATACATCGCTACCTATGCATGTGAATCTGACATACCGTATAAGTTGTGAGAAGGTCAATGACTAGCACCCAGAATGTTTAACAGTAGAATGATTTTCAAAAAAGCATGACATCATTTGTACGCTGATGTCGATAATTTGTATAACTGGATATGAGAATTTTTGTCAATGTTCGCTAAGATAACAGGTCTGGAAAAATTAAGACGGCGCCCATTTTTTACTCATTTAGTAACAAGCTTCTAAATTCATGAGCCAGGAAGATAAGTAAAGGTAGGAAACCACGAGTCCAGCTCTATAGCAACAATGATTTTCAAAACAGATGCAATAGATAAACAAAAAAATAAGTAAAAAAAAGGGCAGCCAGGTGCACTAAGCTCCCGCTTTGCGCGGGGTTCGGCAAAGGGTCGGACCACAAGAGTCTATTGTACAAATTTAATAAGTAAATAAATAAACAAATAAATTAGAGCAAGTTATGAAAGATGTCATAGTTACCTATTAGTAAAACAAGTTTCAAAGCCTCAGATAAACTTTTTCCCAGTTTCTTTTGCTTCTGTGTGTGTTCACTTGTCAAATTAGTGAAACAGCTGGGGCATCAGCAAATTGCCACTTCCAATTGAATGAAAAGAAGAAAGACTGTCAGCATTAAGTTAAAAATTTTGTTTATAGCTTTGTGGTGGCTAAAAACACCAATAATGCAATATCAGAGCTAAGGTTAAGTAAAAGCTAGCAAGTTCGGAGAAGACTGTAAGTCATGGCTGAAATATAGCCGTTCATTGTGTTTTGGTGCACTAAACCAGAATTCTTGGAGAATACATCACCAATTTCTGTCATCAAGTCAAAGAAGCTTCTTAAGGAAACCAAAATGGCCTACAACTTGAGATCCTGGAAGAGGTTAAGTCTGACAAGTGCACAGTACACATTCATGCTATAAGATAACCGGGTTCATTGAAGTAATGAACCAAGCAAAATTCTGTTAAAGAAACAAATACATCAAGTAGCATCAGGAAAAAAAAAGGCAAAAGCAATAGTCATGTTGGTTGTTAAGGTTAAACAAAAAGATAAGCTCATTTATCTATTTCATAGCTTCTGCGCAAAAACCTGAAAAGTCAAACCAGAAATATAAGACATGCCAACAACTAGTAAAAACCAGTATAACCTTTGGTTCAAAAGTATTTCTTAATAGGCGTGGCATCACTTGAGGAAACACCATTCTCTCTGTGTCTTGTCTTTCAATAAGGCATGAAAAACTTCCATAGGAGCCAGTCAATAAATCATGTTAAGAACATGATCTGTAAGGGCGAAAAGAGGTAGGTAGAAGGATGATTATTTGTCATTTCCTTGTTTGGTAAGTAAAAATGGGTCATCTAACCTCCCAAATCTAGACTGAAAAGGACGAATTCTTATATCTTTTACGTCCCTTATAGTTGTGTGTCACGATATATGAACAATAATCCAACTAAGGAACTAACTTCATGAATTTCTCTCTTCTTGCCCTTCCCCTCCCCCTTGTGAAAGCAAATTGGCATTACTCACCACGATAACAACTAAGCAAGATTTAGAAGAACATACAAACTGAAAAATAAAAAAAAATTAGGTGTGAGACCTATAACTAAGAAGAGTCCTATAAGAGGAAGGCGAGATAAACCTGATGCAGACCTTGCAAATGTAGCATATGAACTTTCTTCAAATGGGAGAAACACCAGCCTAACCACTAAGCTTCCTGAAATATCAATTATATGTATCTGGTAAAAAGTATGACCTGTTTAAGCAATATGCTGCTTTGTTAAGAAATCATACCTAGTTTGTCTACAAGCCCATATACTGCTTGGTTATATGGTGTGTCCAACCACACAAGAACCATCTTTTCTCCTTCTTGAAGAAGCAACTTTCGGAAAGATTGAAAGGTAAACAACATACACATTTTTGAAAGCTGCTCATCAATGCCTCCATTTCCTACACTAGAAAGGTATCGACTGTCAAATAAATTAAATTCCAATCACAAGAAGAAAAGAACTGTCAACATAAGAGAAGAGGCAGAGCGATATTGCGAACAAAGTTGAAAAATTGATATAGCCAAACCAAAGGTAGGCCTACATTCATTCCTTTGTATTTCTTGTAGCCAAGTGCCCAGCCACCCCCACTTCCAAAAGAAGGAAAAAGCTCCATTCTCATAAAAGGTTGACTTGTTTTCTTTAGGACCACTCCCTCTCTCCCATATTATATATATATATATATATAGAGAGAGAGAGAGAGAGATGTTTTTGTGTTTTGTCTGTAAATCTGCTATAAGCATCAGCTTGTGCCTTACTTTACATATCACTTATCAAAGAACATATGAAACGTATAGCATGCATGTGAAACAACAGAGGAGGAGTAAACATTAGAATTCTTACCCGAAAGGAAAGAGATCAGAACTGCTATACATGTGAAAAAGAAGAAAGTAGCCCCAGTAGCCAAAG